TAATTTCTGGTTGCCTGAAAAATGCAACAAGCATGGCTGGTGCATCATCATTTGTGATGGAAGTCAGTTCCTAGATTGGAATGTTTTTCTCAAGCACATATCTTTTGAATTCATCTTAGGTATCCTCACTCCCTGTTCTCTCTTTAAGGGGCAAAAAGGTGAGAAGATCTCTTTAGTTATCATGTCCTTAATAGCCATGTGCACAATAACAATCAGCAGGGCTGTGTTGGCCATGTAGATAGACATAGATTTAGTTGCAGTGTGAAGTATCATAGTCCATCAGGTCCTGCTGCAGGCACTGAAAGACATCTTTGGAGAAAGATTTCACATTCCTGTTATTATTTCTTCTTTGTTCTTAAAGTCTTTGAATATAGGGACACAGTCATTGCTTCTTTAATTACATTGTGTGAATGAATGTTTGTGTTTTACCAGAAGATGATAATTGTGAAATGATGTTTCAGTGCAGACCTTACATTTGGCTGCTGGCTTAGAACAAAATGACTTATCATTTTTCCAAATGGCCTGAAGATCATCAACTTTCTTTACCTGAAGCATGTTGCTCAAGGGTGAACTGCTGTTGAAGTGACTCTGCATTGTTGTGTGCTGTCTTTTCCAAACTAGCCTTTTTACTTATTTGATAAGGCTTTTGTGACATACATGGAAACAGTTTCAAACAGAAATTCATTTTCTCATTCCGTGTGGAAGATGTACATTTTCGGTTTCTTTTCAGATGCTCCAGGTCCATCACTCATCATTACTGCCTCACCTTGTAGTTCATCATATCAGCCTCCTGTTGGTCACATTATAGGTATGCCACTGAGATATTCAGAACGTCACTGGCTGCTATCAAGGGTGGAGGCACAGGAGGTCACTTGCAGCATTTCCCATAATGTTTCTTCGTGCTGTGCAAACCTGAAAGGTAAGGTCACTACAGTCCTACCAGACCATAGGGCTGCTCTTCCATTAGAGGAAGAGACAACCAGTGGTGGTTTAACCTGACAGTCAGCATGTCTCAGGTGAGAGGAGAGGTTGAGAAGGAGAGTCCTTCATTGTAATCTCATCTAGTGCAGGAATTGAGCCTATGTTGTTGGTTTCACTCTGCATCATAAACCAGCTGCCCTGCCAACTGAGCTGACTAATCCGCACAGCCCTCCCACCCTGTTTCCCCATGATAAAGAGCTGCAGGATAAAACACTGTAGGTCTACAGTGAATGGGAGGAGAAGCAGGACTAGCTGAGCTGTGAGTCCACATGGACACGATGGACTGAACAGCTTCCTATATTTCTAGTATTCTAATATATTGTCCTCACACATTAATCCTTAGTATATTTCTTGTTTATTTCTTTGCAATGCCACCTCAAAACTTACATTATCCTGCAGCATTAGTCTATCTGGACCAAACTGAAACATGATACAACAAGCTACAAAGTCCATGAAGGTCATGCGGTTTTCTCAGTTTCTGGAAGAGGAGGTCATGCAGTAGCGCAGTGATCCATATGCACGGGGTGACAGAATGTGGTCATTTGGTCAGATCGATTGCCAGAGACTCTGCAAACCTGCCAGTTAATCCTTATCTACGTGTTGGAGACCATGTTGTTTGAGAAAATTTGGAGAGTCACCTCGCTAACACTAAAGGAAGGACCACCATGAAATCTTGTATCTCGGAGAACCACTGGGACATTGAAGAGTAATTAGAAAAAATTCCAGAGGACTGTGATCGATGCAGGGAAAAAGTGGATTGATTTTCAAGATTTTCTTAAGGTAGGAGAACTCTTGGGAGGGAATTGAGTTCATAGCACAAGTTTTTATAAAATAATGCTATATTACAGTGCTTGCTTTGTTTAATTTCTCTTCATGTTGACAATAAAGCTTTTAAAAAAAACCTGAAATCTCATGCTGTAGTTCTATCCATTAATTGTTGGGTGTTCAGACATTTTCTTTAAATATTAAATATCTGTGACAGGGTTGTAACAATCTGTTTCTCCTCACCAATGCAACCAATTGCTTTCATAATGACTGGAACAAGAAATGTTAATTTTGCCAAGAGAATTTTTGCCCTTTCAGAGGCATCAATAGAACAGGCAGAAAATCAAATTTTCCATTCAGCTCTACTGGGCAAAATCATAATAATTTACAAAAAGCCCACCACAGCAATATTGTAGGATCATCAACTACAATTTCATATATTTAAAACATACATTGCTTTAACCAACTACATACAACTATTTGAAAGCTTCAGAGCTAATTTGATATGTGCAACTTGGCGGTGTGAAACTATATGATAAATGGTGCTGTAGTAAACAGAACCAAATCAAGTCCCATACGGGGGCTCAGCTGGTGAGTCCGTTGCTTTTTGCGGAACAAATTCAAAAAGAAACAACTCAGATTCTTCAAACTCATTAGGATGAACCATTACATTTTGTCTGAAGGGATAAGTGATCTGCCAACACTATGCAAAATATCTTGAAAAGCATGACATTTTTCATTCAGTATACCTGTTTCCTCATCATGTCAGTAGCCTGCATTATGTACCGTGGAGGTAGTCCATGGCTTCTTGCAAGAACAATTGCTTGTTCTAAAGTGACACTTAGTGTACATCTGCAAGAGAAGGGAGATATTAAGTCAAAGGTTCATTTGATGCATTTTCAGACAATTAGTTAGAAATGTTTTTACAATATTAGCAAACTACAGTTCTTCAGAAACACTAGATTGCAATCTTAAAAAGGTATTCTGGAATGTAGAGTTTTTTCCAGTTTTTAAAATAATTTCTTTGCCATACTGAAATCACAATCACTGTGTAGAATATGTTCACCTTCAACTGGAAGAGTGTCAACGATTTTGTTGGACTTCTGAAGAACTGACTTGAATGTCCACTGCATTTAGCAAACGTGTACTTACCAGCGAGTGCCTTAAATGAAGACAATGGTCTAGATTTTGATTTGAAATAATAATGATGCTTCACTGATCACTATTGAATAAGAGTAAATCAGACAGCTACTTCTAGTGACCACTCATTTGCAGTTGTATATGGACAGCAGGAAGTTGCTGTCCAAGATGTCTGCTTCTTCAGAAGTTGAATTATAACAGTATCTCAACCCAGATAGTCACCAATTGAATATCTGTGGGGTTTGACGTTAGGTTCTTCACCAAAAAAATTGAATAATTGAGTATTGAATGCATCAAAGAAAGCACTATAAGTAATTTTCCCTGTAACATCACACAATGATCATTAGTGTGGAACAAGCTCTCTGATATTGAAAATTAACTTTTATAAGTGTGGAGTCTCAATCCTTCAAATTACAATTTATTATTGAAAATGTAAAAACTAACTTAAAGTCTTAACTAAAATTCTCTTTTACTTTTACTATATTTCTGTCTCTCTAAAGCCCAGCTTCTTTTCCTCCTGCTTAGCTTTAAGCACAGGTTTTGGCAATGCACAAAATTCTGGGTTCTAATTTATAACTCAGCAAAACCAATATTCAATAGTCTCCAAAAATGCTGCAGTAACTGTGGTGTGTGACTAATCTGTGCCTGTTGATTTTGAAGAGCAGTAACTTTGTGCTGCTTGCCGACGGGCACTATTGCTTCATGTAGTCAGTGATAAAAATGCTGGTACGTGGTTGGACCTCAGCATGGGACCTGAGTTTGTGCAAACCCAGCATCACTTTAAAACTATTTCAGAGATAGCAGGAACTGCAGATGCTGGAGATTCTGAGATAACACGGTGTAGAGCTGGATGAACACAGCAGGCCAAGCAGCATCAGAGGAGCAGGAAGGCCTAGA